GCAGCCGGGCACCGGAGCGGGTGAGGCTCCGACACCCCAGGGCAGGAGGGTGCAGGCACAGCCCTTACCTTCAGGCCGCTCGGGCAGCGCCAGGCCCAGCCAGTTCATGTTCGCGCTGCACTGGCTGCTGACGCTGGAGGTCCGGCTGCCGAACGGGTGCAGGGGGATGGTGCCGATGACCAACGGCAAGTTCAGGAACAAGTCCATGGCGCCGGGAATGTCCACGTACACCTGTGGCCGGAGGGCGCTTGGGTGAGAGGCCAGGTGGGCACCCCCCCCATTTGAGATGGGATTTCACTATGTAGCTCAGGCTGGCCTGGAACTCAGTGATCCTCCTGCCTCAGCCTCCCCAGGGGTGGGATTACAGGCGTGCACCACCACGCCCAGCTAGGATTTTTGTTTTTAAAACAATCAATTTCCATGTTTGTTGATTCCGTTTGCTTACTTTTACTGATATACATAAGAAAAGTTTCCCAGGTCAAATACAGTACTACACTTGTACACAAGTTAAGCTAGTTAATTACACTCTGAATGTTGCTATCACACGTAACCCTGTCAGAACCGCACAGCACCTCCCGCCTGGGCCCAGCCTGAGCCCGCTGGCCACGCACCATGAGCGCATACTCCACGCGGATGATGCTGCAGTCCAGGATGGAGGGCGACACCGGCGGGATCTTGAGCGGCCGTCCGTCCCACGTCTCAGTTTTCCCGGACGACAGCGACTCCCCACGCAGGTTGGCCACCAGCTGCTTGACCTCCTTCATCTTGCCCTTGGCGTAGAAGGCCTGCGTCTGGTAGACGGCCGCCTTGGGGACCACCACGCGTGACGAGCAGTTCTCGATCTCTGCGAAGATCTGGATGGACTCGCCTGGGGAAGGGGCTTCCGGTCAGACCAACTGCAGCTGGGGAGGTGCCCAGACCACATGGAGGACCGCGGGGTGTGGGGGGCGCATAGGGCGGGCCGTGCTCACGTTACCCTGACAAAGACTACTTACTACCACGTTCGTATTTGGCACAAACAGTGCGCGTTTACACGCAAAAGCAAAGTGAAGACTTGTTTTTTGGGACGGGTCGATGGAGCGGTTTGGCCTTGAACACACTATGTGGCCCAGACTGGCCTTGGATTTAGGAGCGATCTGCCTGCCTCAACCTCCTGAGTACACTGGGCTTGCAGGAGTGCACCACCCTGCGCTATGGAAAGACTCTGTGGGGCACGGAGGTCTTACACGTACCTGGGGTGTAGCCCTTCCTCTCGATTTTGGCGCTTAAGGATATTGGGCCTGAGGTACAGAACCAGCAGCACAGGGTCTTTTCCTTTGTGCCTGCTTGGGGTGACTGTAAGGAAGAAAGAGAAGGTGATCAGTGTAAGAATCAGTAAAATACCACAAGTTTTTAAAACTTTCTAATACTAGAATATTTAAAAATAGTATTATTCTAAATTCTGGGAAAATGTACAAATAATTGTGTCGCCTTTTTTTTTTTTTTTGTCCCCTGGACCAAAATACTTTTCCTCCCAACCAAGGCCTTCTGAATTATGTCATTATTTTTGTCTTTAAATAAACCTAGTTTTAACCCACCTAGTTACACAGACAATAATTAAAAACAACAACAACAACAAAAAAAACCCTTTCCAAGTTCCATTTAAACTACCTTAAGGGAAGGCAGCACAGGAAGTAGGTTGGTTATAATCCCAAATGTTAACATCTTTCTCGGAGGATGAAAAAAATCCGTATGTAAAAACTGCCACTTTTAGGTTCTTACTTGCTCTAAAGATGTTACCATTTGTTTAAAACCAAAGTTTTGAAGTCAAATTTGAATTAATCTCATAAAATGCAATGCAAAGATTTCTTTTAATGAAGGAATTAAGTGTTTTCCACAAAAGCGATGATTCGCCATCATTTGCCAACTATCCCTGATTGGAATAATGCAAGGCCGCCCGGCCGTCCTGCGGCAGGCAACGCCGCTCCTCTGCGACAGCCGGGTTCTGAGTCACCCGTGCACTGGGCTCACGCTTAAACCTGCTTCAAGTTAGTCACCGCAGGGCCAAAAAACGGGCAGGCTCTTCATTGGCTGTGGGGCTCTTGATTTAAAAATGGAGTGTTTATGGGACTTAAAAAATAAAGCCACTACTTCAAAGTTACGAAAATTGAGTAGTTCAGGTGATTTATTCTTTAGTATTCAGATGCCAAAAACAAAGAATGAAGAATTTAGTCTTTTCTTACCAGTAATGAAGGAGTGTTGATATCTATATGCTCAAAGACTGTAAATTCCTTCTTTAATTTTACTGGTAGAAGCCAAGGCCTGTGCAGTTCGGCTTTCACCCAATAGCGCACACTGCCATGCCGGCCTTCGAATGAGGTAGCAAGTGGTCTGCGTAGAATATAAAGGTCAATATATTAATCCTACCCCCCTCAGCACGGTGCAGCAGGGCGGAAGTGGTGACAGAGCTGCTGCGGGTCACCAAGGAGGAGCAGACATCTGAGTGGGCAAAATTCCCAAAGGGATAAGTCAGTGGGGAAAAACTCTTACTTCCAAATAAAACAGTTATAGTTTCATGTAGAAAATTTGCTTCATGAAGCCAGAAGAATACAATCCCTTTAAACTAAGAAGAGGCTACTTTTAATACTCGGTGGCAAAATTATAGGTGAACAAACAATTCCTGAAAAGGTCAAGAATTTCATTTAAAAAACAAAGTTAAGACTGGCTCAACGCTTCCTGTCCGGCGGCGATCTGGACACCAGTAAGCGATTCAGACCAAACTGCTGAGTTTCTCACAGCGAGGAACCACTGGCTTTTTCTATACTGACCAAGACCTGGAAGAGGCTTAGGATAATCGTCACACTTCATAAAGCCCAGCAAACTCTGGAGAAGTGTCTGGAAACTTCCCAGTGGGTTTGTGTTAATTAAGTTCTTTGGCTATGTTTACCAAGACTTGAAAAAAAAAAAAAAAAAGCCAAATATTCCTACGACCTGTATCAAAAAGAACCAGAACTGTTCTTGAACTCTATCAAAAGAACCAGAACTGTTTTCGAACTCGGCTAGATGCTCAAAATTTACTGCTTTCCAAAGGTTTGAGTTCAGGAGTCCCCTTTTCGTATTTTCGTCACCAAAATCTTTAATATTCTGTACTGGTTAAGTGAGAGTGCCAGTTTACACTGGAGAAGCTGCACAGATTTTGCATACAGTTTTTTTTTTTTTTTGCATTTTAGATTCTCCTCTTAACATATATACAACATAGGGAAATAAAATTCAGTAACTGGTTTACACAAATAATTTGTTCAGATACACTTTGAAAAAATGGCATTTGGGAACCACACGTACATAAAACTCAACTCCTAGAATTAACAAAACAAATGCATAGTTATCTCCATTTGGCACATGACAAATTCTGTCATCTTGAATTTATCTTCCAGAACAGTTAAGTTTGCAAGTCTTAATGTCTGTTAAGGGTTTAGTATTAGCAAAAGAAGGTACGGACAGATGACAAGCACTTTTTCTAGCGATGCTGTCAGCATTTACAAAGCGCTTACTCTGTCTCAGCCTCTCACTGTTAAGTGAACTACTACTCAGGACCTGGAAACAGGCTTTAGGAAGGAGTCCTATTAATCGAGCTTGCTTTCTGTAATTTTGCCACACTGGATTAAAAAATAGCTTCTTATGTTTAATACATTGTTTTCCTCTAGCAAATTTCTGTAGTGAAAAGGGTTTTTTTTTTTAAAAAACAAAAAAACCAAAAAACCCCCAAAAACCGAAAAAAGTGAATTTCGAGTCTGTGACTGCGAAAGGCTGCTTTGCCCTGGGTGTGCGTCTGCGGCCTGGCTCCGGGACTTACGTTTGTGGAAGCTCGAAGCTGAATGCGTACTCGTGCCTGCCCGAATGGATGGTGTGGAAACCTTCTTCAGGATGGTCCTCATCTGAGACAGGAAAAGAACAAAATACCCCTTACTAGGCGCGTGCGGGCTCGGTAATTAATCACCACGGCGGAGCGTCGGATCTGGATCTGAGTTCTAATTCCAATTTCCTCACTTCCTCTGGATCATACACAAACTGCCTCCAACTGCCTGGTCTGTAGATGGGGACAAGGGATCCTCAGGACCACGGGCTTTTCGGGTTTCAGTACCAGGGATCGAACTTGGGAAGTTGCGCTTGCTATGCAGGAGGCAGAACCACTGAGTTAAATCCCGGGCCCGGGGCTTTTTGAATGGAAAAGGACCCCAAAGACGAAAACGTCTAGGTCTAACGTAGCGGTTCATCCCCAACGGGCTGCTCGGGTCTCCGCGTCACCACCGCTGCTGCGAGGCCGTTTCCTCCAGGGAACTGCGACGCGCTCCGCGCCAGGGCTGCCCGGGGTCCGCGCCACGCCGCCACCCCCACTGGGAAACCT